CAAAGAAGAATAAGAAATCAACACAGAACTGGTGTTTTGAGACGCTACACGCTGCAGAATTACTAAGGAGGAGATCCGAGCCCTTACGGACTGAATGGTTCGATGTGCAATGAGGATAATCTGTCGACTAACTAACATCACATGAATATGAATCCGCGCGCGCGCGCGCGCGCTCCACCCACCCACCCACCCACCCACCCACCACCCACCCCCCCACCCACCCACCCCCCCCCCCCACACACACACACACACACACACACACACACACACACACACACACACACACACACACACACACACACACACACACACACACACACACACACACACACACACACACACACACACACACACACACACACACACACACACACACACACACACACACACACACACACACACACACACACACACACACACACACACACACACCACACACACACACACACACACACACACACACACACACACACACACACACACACACACACACACACACACACACACACACACACACACACACACACACACACACACACACACACACACACACACACACACACACACACACACACACACACACACACACACACACACACACACACACACACACACACACACACACACACACACACACACACACACACACACACACACACACACACACACACACACACACACACACACACACACACACACACACACACACACACACACACACACACACACACACACACACACACACACACACACACACACACACACACACACACACACACACACACACACACACACACACACACACACACACACACACACACACACACACACACACACACACACACACACACACACACACACACACACACACACACACACACACACACACACACACACACACACACACACACACACACACACACACACACACACACACACACACACACACACACACACACACACACACACACACACACACACACACACACACACACACACACACACACACACACACACACACACACACACACACACACACACACACACACACACACACACACACACACACACACACACACACACACACACACACACACACACACACACACACACACACACACACACACACACACACACACACACACACACACACACACACACACACACACACACACACACACACACACACACACACACACACACACACACACACACACACACACACACACACACACACACACACACACACACACACACACACACACACACACACACACACACACACACACACACACACACACACACACACACACACACACACACACACACACACACACACACACACACACACACACACACACACACACACACACACACACACACACACACACACACACACACACACACACACACACACACACACACACACACACACACACACACACACACACACACACACACACACACACACACACACACACACACACACACACACACACACACACACACACACACACACACACACACACACACACACACACACACACACACACACACACACACACACACACACACACACACACACACACACACACACACACACACACACACACACACACACACACACACACACACACACACACACACACACACACACACACACACACACACACACACACACACACACACACACACACACACACACACACACACACACACACACACACACACACACACACACACACACACACACACACACACACACACACACACACACACACACACACACACACACACACACACACACACACACACACACACACACACACACACACACACACACACACACACACACACACACACACACACACACACACACACACACACACACACACACACACACACACACACACACACACACACACACACACACACACACACACACACACACACACACACACACACACACACACACACACACACACACACACACACACACACACACACACACACACACACACACACACACACACACACACACACACACACACACACACACACACACACACACACACACACACACACACACACACACACACACACACATATATATATATACAGAGACAGAGACAAAAAGAGAAGGAAACATACAGTGAGACTGTGACAGTGTGAGACAGAGGGAGAAAGGAGGGGTGGGGGATATAGGTAAAAGAGCTTCTTATACTAAATTTCCCTATTCTGTGCGATACAAATATAATTCTACATTCTTTAACACTTTTAAGAAAACCTGCAGCTGTAATATGGCAAAAATTAGAAATGTGCTAAAAGTCAGAAACAACAAAACTGGCAAAATAGTCAAAGTGGAAAACATACCAAAGGGTAGTAAAACTAGAAAACATGAAATCTGCCATAAATGGATGGGGCTGTGGTAGTGTGGTAGCTAGATGCTTGCCTAATGGCCTAAAGTTTTTGGGTTCAAATCTGTACTGTAGTGGAATTTTTTTTCAACGAAACTGACCTTGACTCCTAAGCTCAATCCAGTCTAAAACAGGTAGCAGATAATGGCCAGGGAAGTTACGGTGGCCAGGGAAGTTACGGTGGCCAGGGAAGTTACGGTGGCCAAGAGGATGCTGACCACACCACCCAGTCAGGGCCAGTTGGTCTATACAATTTGAGTCTAACATCACATGCCTAGTGTGCCAGTGGTGTAAAAAGGGCCCTCGTGGCCAAGTGGGGGGAAAATACACTCCATAGCCATATAGCTGAAATGCTATAGAACGATTCTCAGAATACCATGTGTGGGGACACGCCTGATAACTTCAGAATACCATGTGTGGGGACACGCCTGATAACTTCAGAATACCATATGTGGGGACACGCCTGATAACTTCAGAATACCATATGTGGGGACACGCCTGATAACTTCAGAATACCATGTGTGGGGACACGCCTGATAACTTCAGAATATCATGTGTGGGGACACGCCTGATAACTTCAGAACATGTTTTTCCGCAACTTAATTTTTGTCTAAGTATTTTAAAGTATAGAAGAAAATATACTCCTGGGCTGTAATCTAAATCTAGGTCAACCCAGAACAAAGCCATTTAATCTCCCTGGGCCGGCAGTTGACGTCAAACACTCAAACTCTCGCACAGAGGTAAGGTGTCAAGGATCCAGATAACACTGACCTGACAGACTTGGTGGGCACCAGTGAAGTAGAAACTACAGACCATCAAGCTTGGGGATGTCTTAAAATTATCTAGCGGACAGACCCTTAGGGACAGGTAACTTATTTTGAAAGTAATTATCTCTCCCTGAGATAAATAACCCCACTTGAGTGTAGATCAGATGGCTAGTGTTGGCACCTGTCCGATGGAGATGTTAGCAGACAACGTTGCATCAGGTGTCAAGAGTATTTTGGCAGACTGGAGGGTAAAGAAATGATCATACAAAGTTCAGGCCAGCTTGATAGACCTTGGGAATGTAACCCATGTTGGCAAACAAGTGTTTGTGCCTTCTTGACTTACAGGCATTTAGTTAATGGCCTGACCCCCGAGGGCGGAGCTTTGACATCCTTGAATGAGAGAGGTTAAGGAGGAGACAAAGAAGGAGCTTGGGAGAGATTATAAAAGAGTGGACATAGGGTTTGGATGACTACCTCGACCAACAAGACTGGGAAAACCATATACTCGAGGAACTGGGAAGAGCCCACAAAATCCTCAGCCAACAAAAGGCATGCAGCGGGAAAGGATCAACAAAAAACAAAACAAAAAATGCCACAGCAGACACCACTAGAAATTCGACCACCTGAAAGCAAAGAAAACAGAGGAGCTCAGCAAAACAAAGCAGCCAACAGAGACACCCAAAAACAAGTACAATCATGACAGTCTGGTAGTCTGGTAGTCTGGTAGTCTTAGTTTCAGCTTCACAGCAAACGGGTTGCCCCATCTTTGCTCCGCTCCTGTGCCAGCGAAAAACACCTAGAATGTCTATCACGGTCCCTTGTGGAAAGATTGACAGACTGCTGTCTCAGCATATCTAGCATACACTCGCATTAAAGCATATGGTAGCCATCCTAACACAAACAGTCCAACATTAGAAATGCAGTTCATCATTGATGATAGCAGAACTTGTCGTCAACAGATCAGCAGTTGTCCGCGTGATCAATTTTAATACGGGTCCCGCAAGCATTGAACGACAGGCATCGCGCCATTTTCTGAATCTACAATTCACACCACCACGTTGGTCACAGTCGAAAAAAAACATTCCAAATGCAATCCGCAGCTCACAGGGTCACGCCATGCATTCAACTCAGAAGCTGGGCGACGAAACTATATCCAGTCTACAAATGGAGCAAGAATGCATCGGCCACCGTCCGGCAGAAGCAAAAAATTTGCCTCTGTTCCAAACGGCGCCGCTGCTTAGCGTCCATTTTAACCGGCATCATGACAGTAGTCCAACTAGCTCACCGGACCACAGAAACCCCAAGGAAAAATCACCCAACAAAACTCCACCATGACAGCAGAAAGCCAGTCCACTGACCTGGAAAACCTACCAGCTCGAGACCAGCCAGGTATGACAAAGTTGAACTGATTAAGACCTTATAGAGCTTCTTTTGCAAGTTCTCCTCAGCCATGCAGTTTTCATTAGGCTGAGTTGAGTAAGACCTTAAAGAGCTGTCTATCACAGATTCTTCTCCTCAACCATGCATCTTTCACTCGGATGTGTTGAGTAAGGCCTTATAGAGCTGTCTGTCACAAGTTCTTCTACACAATCATGCAGTTTTTTTCTTGGTTAAGTACAGCAAGGTCATATAAAGTTATCTGTCGCTGGCTTTCCCCTCAGCCATACAGTTTTCACTCTGTTGGGTTTGAAAAGGCCATGTGGCCATTCTGTACCTCACATCAGGCTGACCCTTCTGGAAAAATTATTCCAAAGTTATTTTATTTCCATTCTCCACACGGCCACACTTTGTAGGTCCATTGTCCACACAGCAATACTTTCCAGGTCCATTCTCCATACGGCGACACTTTGTAGGTCCATTGTCCACACAGCAATACTTTCCAGGTCCATTCTCCATACGGCCACACTTTGTAGGTCCATTCTCCACAAAGCACCACTTTGTAGGTCCATTCTCCACATGGCCACACTTTGAGGGTCCATTCTCCACACTTTGTAGGTCCATTCTCCACATGGCCACACTTTGTAGGTCCATTCTCCACATGGCCACATTTTGTAGGTCCATTCTCCACATGGCCACATTTTGTAGGTCCAATCTCCACATGGCCACACTTTGTAGGTCCATTCTCCACAAGGCCACATTTTGTAGGTCCATTCTCCACAAGGCCACACTTTGTAGGTCCATTCTCCACATGGCCACATTTTGTAGGTCCATTCTCCACACTGCCACACTTTGTAGGTCCATTCTCCACATGGCCACATTTTGTAGGTCCATTCTCCACACGGCCACACTTTGTAGGTCCATTCTCCACATGGCCACATTTTGTAGGCCATTCTCCACATGGCCACACTTTGTAGGTCCTTTCTCCACATGGCCACACTTTGTAGGTCCATTCTTCACAAGGCCACATTCTGTAGGTCCATTCTCCACATGGCCACACTTTGTAGGTCCATTCTCCACATAGCTACATTTTGTAGGTCCATTCTCCACACGGCCACACTTTGTAGGTCCATTCTCCACATGGCCACATTTTGTAGGTCCATACTCCACACGGCCACATTTTGTAGGTCCATTCTCCACATGGCCACATTTTGTAGGTCCATTCTTTACATGGCCACATTTTGTAGGTCCATTCTCCACAAGGCCACACTTTGTAGGTCCATTCTCTACACAGCCACGCTTTGAGGTCCATTCTTAATTTTTATAACAAAACACAATATTTCTTCTTTTTCGTTTGTTCTTGCCCTTATGGTGGTTCGCATATTGTAAGGTTGACAAATAAATCCTGGTTTACAGTTAGACTGTCATATCCTCAACATTTGGCCCAACACATCCTATTTCAGCAAATGACTAAACAAATGCCTTTCTTTACATGTTTGTTGAAGGGGGAGGAGAGAAGAAGGGGGAAGAGGGGAGGAGGAGAGGAGAAGGGGGAGGAGAGGCTGCAGTAGATCCCTCACCTCATATGGGACCCACATTAGGAGAAAGAATTAACAATTATCAACAATCTAATCTACTGGTGATGAATTGTTAAGACCACTCCAAAAAATGTATTTACACATCTAACAGACAGTAAAACTGGTCTGAATGACAACAGGACAGAAACCACAAAAATATTAACACAAATATTTGTTAATGTAAGATGACTAATGTTCACAATTATTAACTCAGTGAGTCCCATGCAACACACGATGTGACAATGAATCTTTTCACTGAATTGAAACGATCACATATTGTCTTCTTTTACCTTTCATATATGGTCAGAGACTACCAGTGAAATCTGGCTTCCTGTTTGGTTACTTCCAGTCACTGTGTACTTTGTCTAGCACAAGTTATACACTTCTGATTGTTTGTAATGGTTACTGCACTCTTGGAAATATAAACAGTCTCTTCTGGAACCCAAGGAGTTAAGACAGTGTTGAATGAAACCCATAAGCAGATCCTCACATTTTATAAGACAGCGTTGAATATCTGGTAATCAACTTCAGAAACTTGAATATATAGACAACAACAAAATTTTAAAATAAGAACACTGGAGAATCTAGAAAGAAAATCAGTTTCACAAATCACCAAAGGAATATAACCCCCCCCCCCTCCCCATTTTGCACCCCCTGCCCCTCCTCCTCCCCCCCCCCCCCCCCCCCCCCCAAAAAAAAACATACAAAAAACTTTTTACACAACAAATCTCTTAATAACAGTCTTATAAGAAACTGGACAGATTAAAGCTACATTGAAAACAATCACATGACAGCAGTTCTGAAAGGATCTAAGATATCCTGAGCAAAATTTGTCTGAGACATTCGTTTCTTCATCCTCCTCATTCATCCAAGGAAGTAATTGTGTTGTGCCGTTTACAGCATGACTGCCATCTTTTGGCCGACATATCCAACTACATCTGGCACTTATTGCCCAGGTCGGCCTTCCCGGAGAGACCAATTTATATGGAGCACATCTGAAAGTATGGATCTATCCCCATTTATATCACAGACATTGAAACTCGAACAGACTTAAAGCATTAGAAATGAACAGCTAAAGCAAATAAATTTTCAAAGTAAACTGATAATTTCTCTAGAATTAAATATCACAGCTAGAGATAACCAATTTTCCTTAAACCATTAACTTCAGTTCATTGGGTACAAAAAACTTAGAAATTATAACATCTACATAAACCCAAACTTCGCTATGAATTAACTTAAGTCTGATGAAGAAAACCGATATCTTCCAAAGAGCGGCAGTAGGAAGACAGGCAAACAACTCAACAGCTTTAGAATAACAACAGCAACTAAAGGAAACAAGTTACATTCAAGCACCTTAACTATAATACCCTTTACGAGTAACTAACGGCTTCGTAGAATATTTGCATGCACATATATTTGTGAGTTTGTACCTCAAACTAAAAGTAAAAATGAACCGAGACCACACAGATGACTTATTACATCAGTTTGATTCTTTCAAGTAACAAACTACTATTACATCTAACGCCTGACAAACAAACACAAAACACAAAGAAACTGTCATGACAAATTCAGAGCAGACGTATAACAGTGTGGTAAATATGAAACACAAATCTGCCAGAAAGAAAGAAAACCTGGTTTAGTGACATTTCCTGGTTTTTCTGGCAAACTGGATCAAAGGCCGCCGGTATCCCATCACTCACCTCAAACAATTTTCAAACACAATTAATTATTTGACTATACTCTAGGTAAAACTGCAATTAATTGGAAAGAAAATATCTGCTCAGTATGCACTAATCTCTAATGTAAAAACCAAGACAGGCTGAGATCTTGGCATGAAAGAACAAATGTCGCTGACACTACACCAAAGTCACTTTAATGAAATTGTGCGGATTTCCCTAAGTGTATTTTCAGGGCTGTAATTGGTCACTTTAAAGGTTAAAGTCATGAGGATTGATTTCATTGCACCGGGTTTTATCTCATAGGGCTCGCACTCTCTACACAGAACAGCTAGCTGCTGCCGAGAGCACTGCAAAGAGCATGAACTCTATAGCTTCTGTGATGATCCACAGGGAACTCCATAAATACTGCACCCATGAACTGAACAGCGCAGCAGTGAAACAAAGCCATGACCATCAGAGCGTGAGGCAAATGGTTTGATCACTTCACCACAATTTTAATTTACATGTGTCCTTGTTTTAAAGAAAACCACATCTGAACATTAAGAGCTCTGAAGAACTTATAGGTGTGAGAAAAGTAATACTTCCCTTTGACCAATCTGGATAAGGAATTCACATGTGTGCCTTCGGCATATTGTAAGGTTGACAAATAAATCCTGAAAATTGTGCTAGAGCGCCAATGAATTATCTTCTTGAAAGGTCTCCACCCACACAGAGCAGCCGGGTACTTGGTGCAGCCATAGGATGTCAAAATATCACTTGTATATTGTTAAACGGGAAAAATAAGATGAATTCATGAAGGGTAAAAGAAAAAAGAGAAATGTCTGGGCAACTCTGGTAAAAAGTTATAAAACAAAGAAGATGACTCTATGCTGGACACATCCTGAGAAGAAACCAGCAGAGAATCATCAAACAGGCACTCAAATGGGAAATAAAGGGACTGAGGAAATAAAGATACTTAAAAGAAACCCTAAAACAAACGCTGATCAGAAGAGAGGCCAAAGGTGCTGGACTGGACTCCACCAATGATACTAAACTGACTGCGAGCCTATGTGACATATAATGGCACAAGAGGACAATGATGATGCTGAAGAACAGGGCAACTTAAATTTATTAGAAAAGTCATCGGGTGTCAAACCTTCAGGATGCAATCCAGGAGGGGAATTACAGGAGGGGATATAAAGAAGGGAATTAGAGGAGGAGAATTACAGAAGAGAAATTACAGGTGGGGAATTACAGGAGGGGAATTAGAGGTGGAGAATTACAGAAGAGAAATTACAGGTGGGGAATTACAGGAGGGGAATTAGAGGAGGAGAAATACAGAAGAGAAATTACAGATGGGGAATTCAAGGCAGGGAATTACAGAAGTGAAATTATAGGAGGGGAATTATTACATAAGGGAATTACAGGAGGGGAATTATAGGAGAGGAATTATAGAAGGGGAATTACAGGAGGGGAATTACAGGAGGGTAATTACAGGAGGGAATTACAGCAGGGGAGTTAAAGAAGGGGAATTACAGGAGGGGAATTAACTCCGAGTCCAAAGGAACGCATCATACGTTCATAGGTTACTGTCTAGAAGCCCAATGAACGCATGATGAGCTGATTTTACGTCTCTATTGACTACCCCTTAGGCCTGTGATGCTAAACGCTCTGGGACTCAAAAAGAGTTAAGGCGTGGAATTACAGAAGGGGAAATCAAGGAGGGGAATTACAGGCGGCAATTACAGAAGTGGAATTAGAGAAGGGGAATGACAGGAGGCGAATAAGATATGGGGAACTACAGGAGTGGAATAACAGAAGGGGAATTACAGGAGGGGAACTGGAGATGGGGGATTAGAGGTGGGTAATTACAGAAGGGAAATTACAGGAAGGGAATTACAGGAGGAGAATCAGAGGTGGGGAATTAAAGAAGGAGAATTGCAGGAAGGGAATTACAGGAGGAGAATCAGAGGTGGGGAATTAAAGAAGGGAAATTACACAGGAGGTTAGAAAATGTACATATCTTCTTTGTGAGATAAGCATAGGCAAAGTCAGCATCTGTGATTTCTCAGTCTGATCTCAACAGGCTCTGTTATACGCATGCAGTATAATTACACTAGCCAATATTAACATACATATCTACGATTCTCCAATGCTTGCTTGAACCTGAAAAGTGTCACATGCATAGTAAAACAGCTCTCCTTACTAACTCCTCCAA